ACATACATACATACATACATACATACATACATACATACATACATACATACATACATACATACATAGATACTTACATTGTCCTGCCATAGCCTCAGTGAGCTGAATAAAAGACTTGAGTATTTTGGCCTTTTTTTTCTCATTTAACGACATTTCGGCCCGGATAACTGCCCTACAGTGGCCAAGTGACTATTCTGCTGGAACAGGACAAAACTGGCACATCAAGTGTAAACGCTTCAAAAAAAATTTACTATTTCGTTTGATACTACTAATTACTTACTGGTAGCCCAACTAAACGTCCTGTTTAGAAGTTGTTTGACATTTTTTTCCCAACTTGGTCATGTTGGTAGGAAGACTTAGAGGAAAGCACCTAATCCGGAGTCCATTGTATGCATAATCATTCCCAAAGTCGGACCGTGGACGTGGTACATTCCCAGACGTTTCGCCGGCATCTCCAGTGAGTCTTGCCACGTCAACGGTCCAACTTTAGAAATGATCATGCATACAATGGACTCGGGACTAGGTGTGTTTCTCTAAGTCTTCCTACCAACATGACCAAGTTGCGAAAACAAGGTCAAACAACCTCTATACAACGAAAGTAGACTGCGACCACACAAAAGGCCACACCATTTTTTCAAATTTCGTTCGATACTACTAATTGCTTAATAGTAGTCCAACTAAACGTCCTATTTCCTTTAATAAACTGTATCATTGACGGCGTACACTACTTCCAAATTACTTTCCATAGCATGAGCGTCAATTTGGCAGCATAGGCATTTTTGAGTTGTCAACTCTGCCGCAAGATTGAACTTAATGCAGCTACCATTAATTTGCTAATAGAGCCCAAATGTAGAGGAAGAAGATAGGCTTAGAGACTGGACCTATAACAATCAAAGAAAATATGATCTTTGTCATCGTTTTCAACGTATTTTATCACCTTTTTCTGGAGAGGTCTTGGCGTTTTTTGAATGATTCAGTCCTCACAACTTCATCTCAGACGTGATGATCCGTGATAGGCCTATTCCACTTAACTCGGAGCCCTTTTAAAGGCTTCATGAACGGAATTTTAACCAAAAGTAAACTTAATTCAATGGGATTTCCATTAAGGTTTTAAGGGATTTAAGCAAGTTTGCATTTTTTTCACCGTCCTTTTAATACCCAGCGACATATTGTCTTCTTGCATTCTTGCTCAGCAAGAGCACTCCCCAGTGCATGATTTTCGCGCCACATGTCTGTATCTTAGCAACGTGATGCTCTCACTCTATTTCGTTTTAAATAATAAGAGTAATTGCATTTCCCCACAATCGTGTGAGGAGACTTTACGTTTCCATTGAATTTCGCATAGTCCAGCTTCCCAGCCTAGTTGAGGCATTCTCATTCAGCCTGAAAAGGACTGCAGTTTTGACCTTGCATTGGTCTCCTCAGCACCCTCAGTGAGACTCGAACCATGACAATGTCTCGCAGTGTCTCGACGCGTTAATCACGACGCTCCATTGCCACCGATACTTTTGGGCGAAAGGGCAGATGTGACTCTCAAACAAGGTCAAGCATTTGCCCACATCACATTCTGTGGTGAGACTGTCGATGAAGCAAAGTTATATTTGCTATATCAATCGTTTTAAAGTAAGGTTTCGAGACTACTAGTAGATCATATATGTGGTGGGTTGAATTTTCCTACAATGAAATATACTAAATAAAAATTGGGCTGTTTCGCACAATCCAACCGCTTTCAGATGAGACCATTTCACGAATTCCTTCCAATCAACTGTCCCTTCGAAATGTAAAATCATGTCATTGGCAATAAGTAATATCTACATCGGCCGGTTAAACTGTCCTCTCGCCCACTTGACTTGCTGCCGGAGTCCGTACAAGTTTGGCTTCAATCTGGCACTTCTCGCCGGCAGAAAGATATACTTTCAGTCTGACCCTTCAACAATTCCTCGCCAGCGGTGCTGCCAGTTGACCTCTTCACTCTTCCAGCTTCATTACGCCTTCCCGCCTATTTTGCCCAATCCTCCTTCTAACCCCTTTCTTGCTCACCCCCACTTATCTTCTCACTTTGCAGCTCAGCCACCGGTAGGGCAATTTAGCCGTGCTCCCCTCACCCAAGTGGATACTCACAAGTCAACATGATCTCGTCAAATCTACCGAGAAACTCTATTTCCCCTCTTCTCTCTCTCTCTCTCTCTCTCTGTCCTACATCCACATCCACATCTATACTTGGATGGATAGACACACGTCAACCTCTCCCTCCTTTTGGGCTGGGCGAGGTCTGATGCTATCGGAAGTCGAGTAGCCAAGTCACTTGATCTGATTACTTGTCGCTTCGCGCAAATCTGCTGAGGTAGCAATTATACGATCTTCGCACTGCTCCTTGCACCCTTTCCAGGAGCCTCACACCCCAATCACTCAGGTCTGCCGGTTTCCGTCCGGCTAAGTGGCCCACGAATGCGGCCAAATCCCAACTTGCGCGACTGAGAAGGTAAGCAGCAGCGAATGGGGCGGCTGATTTGGGATCATGTCCGGCTTAGCGAAAGCGAGACAAGCGAAATGAGTGTACTGGTGCCGTCGAAACTGTCTGTCCGTCGGTGCCTTGGCTACTCGGACAGACGAGGACGGCGGCCGGAGCCTCGGCAACACGGGGTGTCCGATCCGATCGTCTTCGTGTTACTGAGACTGAGAGTGTGGCTGGTGGTGGTTGTGCCGGACACGTAAGACGAGTCTAAGGCGTGGTTGGAGTAAAGGGTTGTCGGCCAGAGTGTTCATTTGATCCTATTTATTATAATTTGTGAAGATGACTTTTGTCCAGCCGCAAAGGGGCATACACACATTCAGACAACCCCTCGTCTGGACAACCCATGCTTAACCACGTGGCAACCGGACACCGAAGTCGGAGAGAGGCTGGAATGTGAATGTGATTGGATTTCACGCTGAATTTTGCTCGGACGGATAGCTTTGAAGCCTTTTTTCTATTGTCGAAGACATTTTGCCAGTAAAGATTGCTCTTTATTCACAACTGCTTAACTGCTTTCACTGAGTTAATTGGTCAGGGACTTGGATCTGCAAGGAAAATTGGGTTTCGATTGAACTCTTGAGGTAGACTTGTATGTAATTAATGTCACGAAAGCATCGTATCAGGCGAAATTAATCATACAAGCAGAGTAATTAGTGTATTTATTGACTTGTAAAATTAGATAACCTATTCCTCTCACGACAGTTTGCACTCATTAAACTTAAGCTATCTGTATCTAATAATTGTGAATAATCCAACTCAAACTTGCCCATAAAACCATCAAATTTATAAGTGCAAGAAGATGAGAAAAACACCTAAAGGTAGTACAACATAAGGATTTGAAAAAGTCTTATCACACAAATCATCATTGAAATTATAAAAGCACACTTAAAACGCTCTTGACATAGTTTCAGTAAATCACATCAAATCAGAGGCTCAGCTGCTGCAACCAAACTAAGAGCCGAATCCAATAACAATACTATCTTCGAAAACATTCACAATTTAACATTAATAAATATAGAAGTTGTTTGACCTTGTTTTCGCAACTCGGTCATATTGGTAGAAAGATTT